CTCTTCTTGAGTCAATTTGAACTTTTTCTCTAAACTATGCAGTCCATTGATATTCTGTATTTTAAAGCACATGTTATTCTTTCATTAGAAGTTATTCTCAACATCTGTAACTATTTCTTTATCAGCTTTACTTCAACTAATATACAAAGTAAGCTGATATTGATTATTCAACGTTTTAAAATATTTGTGCAATTCACTCCTTTCTTTACAAATCCTTTTGTTTTACTTATGCTTTGCATATTATTTTTCTAAATATACCAATTTATTTTAAACTATGTTTTCTTCAAATCGGTGTTGCATGTGTTAGAAACAACTAAGAATATTGCTTTTATTATGCTCACAGTAAAATTTTCACTTTACTGGGGGTATTTCTAACACTGACTTTGATTATCTATTTAATGCTACAGTTTTAATTTTGTGTTTCATGTATCTTTAAAATTCCACGGGAATAACTTAATATTTTGCCTTCTATTGTTTTTACTTTAATATGTGTGTATACTCACTAGTGGATTATATACATGAGTGAGGCTGGAAGTGAACTAGAGTTACAGGTAAGCTGCCTACCATGGGTTCTGCACACTGAACTCAGGTCTTCAGAGCACTAGTACATACATGATGGATAGCAGTACTCGTTCATACATGATGGACAGCAGTACATGATGGACAGCAGTACTCATGGACAGCAGTACTCATTCATTCATGATGGATAGCAGTACATAATGGACAGCTGTACTCATGGACAGCAGTACTCATTCATACATGATAGATAGCAGTACTCATTCATACATGATGGACAGCAGTAGTAGTTCACACATGATTGAGAGCAGTACTAATTCATACATGATGGACAACAGTAGTAGTTCATACATGATGGACAGCAGTACTCACCCATTCATGATGGATAGCAGTATTCATTCATAAATGATGTATAGCAGTAGTAGTTCATACATGATGGACAGCAGTACTAGCTCATATATGATGGACAATAGTAGTAGTGCATACATGATGGACAACAGTACTCATTCATACGTGATAGGCAACCCTGCAGCCTCCTCAGTTTTCACCTCTGAATTAATTGCATTACAGCTTAAGGATGTATATTCTTATGGCCGCTTGTCGATTTTGTTTGCTTTTGGTTTCATTTTGATTGAAAAGAATGATTAATATGTGGTAAACCTTTCCTAATTATTTCACTAATAATGTTAGCAAATAATACAGATTCTCATTTTAGCCTTACCTATCTCTGTGTATAACAAATAGAAGTGGTGCATTATATTTTTAAATCTTCTACACCCTTGGTTTCTAAGAAAGAGGCAACAAAATGCTATGAAAAACAAGTGGAAGAAGAAAGGTCCATCTAGACCATATGAAAAATGTAGAGGAGATGTTAGCCAAGCCCAAGCTGAGTGTGGAAGTCCCTCCCGGGTCTCGTCCAGACACAGTTCCCTCAATGGAGCTGCTCAGAGGATCCCATTTCCAGATGCTGCACTCATCACTACATACACCAACTTCTTATTCCCATGACTCTGTTTTACTTTTCCATGGCATTTAGCATTGTCCAAGTTGCTGAACGCTTCAGTTGCATTCTACGGTCATTGTTGACTATCTATTTTTCTCCACGATAGTGTGACCTCTACAAGTCCCATTGTATTTGTTTCTTTGGGTCATGGGTAAAGCCCAGTAATTATAAATACAAAGTCTCTGGATTACTTTGGAAACACAGATGCAAGCACAGAAATCTGGAAGTTCATCCAGCAAATCACTGACCATGAATTCTGGTTGCAAATATGAAACTGAAATCTTCTGCTTTGGTGAGATGCTTTTTACAGCAGGAATGATTTTTATATTTTAAGTTCTATAGGGTGCATGTAATTAGAACGTGTTAAAAATTATGTTTGGAATGACAAAGAATGAAAGAAAGTGAAAGAGAGAAAGAAAGATGAAAACCCTCTGGAAGATTTAAATGTTTCCACAGAGTAGTAAAGCAGCCTTACTACACAAGAAAGTGACACCAAGTCCTTGAATTAGATGCCATGTAGAGTTATAAGTCAGAGAGCCAGATACACAGATGAGGTGAACTGTAGAGCTAATGTAAGAATGTATGATCTGACAAGTGAGGCAGTTCAACCCAGGAAAGACCAGGATTGTGGAACAGGAGTTAAGCTGATGAAGAGAAAGGTAAAATTATAACAATTTCCATCAGGACTAGTTCTTTCCCTCATCACGATGACAAAAATAACCAGCAGGAAGAAAAGCAGCTATTTTAGAGGGTTCCAGTCAATCACAAATATGAAGGCTCCATGGTGGGATCATGTAATGGAGGGTGTTTCAACACAGCTAGCCATGAAACAGAGGGTGCCGGCGAGACGCAGAATTCACAACAATCTGCAGTGGCCTGCTTCTTTCTCTCCGCCAGGGTCCACATCCTAAAGGATGAACAAACATTCAAGTCAGTGCCACCAAATGGCAACCTCCAAAACATGACCCTAGCAAACCGTCTATGAAAAGAGAAAGTGTAAACAGACCTGTGGCGATGGGAACACTGTATGTCACCACGGAAAACACCCAAAACAAATGTTAAGTCCAGTACTATCCTGGGGGAAAAGACTCAAATATGAAGGATAGTGGGATGAGAGCCATCTTACTTTAAGGTCACAGACAAGCAAAAGGCAAGCACTGCACTCCAGAAATGGGCTAAGCTCTTAAAACAAAGGGTGGGTTCCACCACAGAGTGCCAGTTTTGCTTTCCAAAAGGGATGATAAGCCAACTGCAAATGATGACTCTGTTCCCAAGTGACCTCACAGGTAAAGTCATCAGAAACTTGTGTCACACACAGAATCCCGAAAAGTTCCTGAGATCCTGGGAGCCGTGGCCTTTGTATAAAGGGAGACTTCCCATGTTTATTTTTATTGCTGTCTAAACACAAATCAAGAATACTGCTTCAAGGGAAGACCCACACAAAATAAACTGGGACAAGAGCTTATTCAATTGGCCAGAACAGGAGAGACTCTCTCTATATATATATCTTCTTTGTCAATAATAATTAGCCCCTTCTGAAAAAGGTGTTGTAGATACACAGTCAAAATGACCCTTTAAGGGAAGATACAATTTGGCTTCCAGAAATCCATTACCAAAAAATAACTGCTTGTGGAGGAAAACACAGCAAAGCCTCCTCACATATGGAAGTGAGAACCACAGGAAACCGCATCCCCAGCCTAGATTTGGTCTTCTAAAAGAAACCGCCACACTGTGCATTAACCAGAATTTTCTCAATGTGAAGACACCTTGAGATGGCTAAATACAAAATTAGAAATAAAAACTATTTGCTCCTTATCTCCTCTCTAAATCCTCCACACCCCCACTACCTTCTAAATAAACTGCAGAAGAGAAAATTTAGCCATCCTGTAAGACCCATTTTCCTGCCTCGGTTTAATATGAAACCAGAAAATAATATAGCTTCTGTTTATAAACCAGACTGGGGCCAGCCTGCTGTGTCAACATAGCAAAATCAATCCGTGAGTCCCAACCCTGAGCAGTAGCCTTTGGGCTGCTTCAGAAATCAATCCGAGAAGAATTGAAGGGTAGTGCTCCAAGGCCTGAGAACACATGCCTGTGTCCCCTTGGGGACCTCACCACTTTGGCTTTAAGTGGGGATTACAAGGAGAAATTGTCCTGACCAGCATGCATTTTCTTTAAGGATGAGTGTCATCTTTTTCTTATTGATATCACGGAGGACCTATTGCAGGCTTGAACTGAGCTGAGACCATACGTGCAAATCTCAGTAAATGTCCACAGTAGCCTCTGGGGGTAGATACTGTTCATATACCAACCATCTACTTAAAAATAGCACAGAAGGAGACCTGCTGACAATCGTGATGTAGTGATGGGTGTGGGTGACATAAACATCTGTAAACCCTATAGTATGATGTGAGTATATCATTCCATTATGAGAATGTCACAACTCCTGCATATAGGACCAAGGTTTGTTGCCTATATTTATAAGTGAGGAAAATGCTGAAGTTCAGTAAATGAAAAAGAAAAAAAAACAGAAAAAGAGGCTGTGATTTCTACAAAACCTTAACTGGCTGCTTTGGAAATGCTTGGTAAGACTCAAAATAGACATAGGTTACCATTTCTATTCTCCCTAAAAGAGTTCCCCTGAAATGTGGATAAGGCATTCATGGTTTGGAAAAATAGTAACAATCTGGAGAATTTCTGTGCTGTGACTGCTTTACCAAGGATCTAAAACTTCTTGCTCCATGCACGCGAAATCAAATCTGCAAATGACTGGGGAGTTACCATAAGGAAGGCTGATATAAGAAGACATTGTAGAACTCAGTAGGGGATGCTCCAGATTGAAATACGTAGAGAGTACATGTAGACAGCAACAGCTCCATGCCTATTTATGTTTAATATGAAACTTCAATATTTATTACTTTCTATCTTTTGTGTTGTTTGCTTTGTCACGTGTGTGTGTGTGTATGTGTGCGCACACGGTTAATTCACCAAGTAACTACGATCCTAATCCATAGGTCAGGAGGATTTTTCTTTCTCCTCTTCCTGTTATTGGCAGATGCTTCTCTAGCTCAAACTTTGTCAAAACTGATGTCTCTCTCTCAGGGAAGAACAGCAGCTTACACGGAGTTCCTGATCAGTGCTTTGGGGGGGTATATTGCAGCTTCTAGACACATACTGTGTCCTAATGTGTTTACCATTACTCCTAATACATAAATATAGAGCACAGGATGCCACTTTGTTGCTTGTCCCTCCAGGTCCTGCAGGATGCTGTTTTGTTGCTAGAGTTTCTTATTCCACCAGGTCCTGCCACCCTATTTTCAGCCCCAAATAAACACATGGACACTATATTAATTATAGAACTGTTGGCTGATGGATAGGGCTTCTTATTGGCTAGCTTTGTCTTAATTGCTAGCCCATTTCTATTAATCTAAATATTTCCACATGGTCTTGGCTTACCAGAGAATGTCAGAACCTTTGGTGGCTACATGGTGTCTCTCCTGGTGGGCTCTCCATACCTACCTTTCCCAGAATCTATTGGAGAAACAGTGTTTTATTCATCAACCAATATGAGAAACACATATACAGAAATACATCATCCATCATTATTCATCAAAATCCATCACCTAATTTCTCAAAATTGGCAATTGTATCTAAGCTAGTATTCTTCATTCAGCCATTTACTCAACTCAATAATTAAAAAACTTAAACTATCACTATATATATATATATGTATATGCATATATTCTACTGCATAGAATACCTAAAACAAATAAACTAATTTGGAACATTCCCAAGTATCCTGAGAATCATCCATGCAAAATGTATCCGATCTCTTTTGAATCATCTCATACAGTCTAAGTGCATGATAATAATTCCGTGATTTGTGCTGTACAAACATGACGAAGTCCATTTTCCCATCCTTTAGTAGCCCTCACCCTCACAGATTGCATAAGTTTGGTGGTTTACAGGAACAAAACCATCTTCCAGAATTCTGCCAATTAGTCACAGGTTTTCACATCCATTGTGGCCCCCTGTAGCACAGTGGACAGTGGACAGTGGCTCCCATTGACTATTCCTATGCTTACCTCACTGGTCCCCATGACACCCTGCTGCCCTTCAAGGATAAATTGCCTACAGGGTCATCAGGCTAGTGTGGCACTAAAGCTTTAGTGTAAACCCTTTCAGTCTCCCACATCTGTGGGTACTCACCAGGGAACAGAATATGATGCTTCAGGACCCATCACCTGTTTCAAGGTATTATTTTCTTTTCTTCTCTTTTCTCCTCACCTCCACAGAAGAACAGTCTTTCCAATATCATATTTCTGGGGTTTGATTTAAAAATTATTGGTATGAACCTCAGCCCACAAATTCAAGAAAGTAAGAATATAAAGTCCTTAGTATTTCAAAAATCTATTTTTTTCTCAACTGATTTCTCAGAGATTAGGTTCCACTCATGATTTCAAGACTTTCTCTTTTTCTGTGGCTTTGGAGGCCTTTGATCAGACCATGTATTATTCATCTGCATGCACACAAACACACACACACCAAACACACACACACATATTGTTTTGGCCTGCTGGCTCATGTCTGTGTTTAGGCACATTTCAGTCATTTACAATTTTCTTCCCTGAGCTTGTGGATGAATTGTAACTTCTCAGCTATACCTCTTAAGGATTTCCCACCGTATTAATGATGTCTCAGGCTTACTTCCTGCTGCACAGGGGCTTCTGTAACCCGCCTCATTTTCACTGTATAGGCTGGGATCATCTCTCTAGTCTAATGGGTCTTCATCCACGTATGTCTACTACTTCTGGGCAAGATATTTTCTCTGATATACCAAGTCTTTCCTTTATGCAAGTTTGGAGTAACACAAAAACTAACAAAAACCCAATAGATTACAAAAACCCAATAGATTATCCACTTTCTACAATCTAATTTTCTATACCCATTCTCTGAGCTCAAAAAGAAGAAAAGAAATAGATAATTGGGTACATTTTGGATTAATACTATAAATTATCGCTCTGCATAGAACTAGAAACATAAAAATATAATTTCAGACCCATTAATCACATTAAGGCTATATGCTTTGCCCTTTATTCTCTACACCGAGCTATTATCCTAAAGTGTTGCAGACAATATCTCCTACATACCTGGTCTTTCCACAATTATGTGTCCCACCTTGTTCCTTTCTTCTTTGTATGACAATTTCAGAAGGACTTTGTCATATATCCTATTGTAAGAGAAAATTATTATCTAAAGTTGAACATGGCTTTCTGGCCACAGATTTAGTCTCCAATGAGGATGTTTACATTAAATATAAATATAAATTTAACTTATCAGCTGATATGCATAGGTATGCCTTAATAGTAATATGTCTATTACCAAAGGGCGTAGTTGAGGGGATAGTGTTATTAACCAGTGATTAGAAAGTGAACCTCTACCACAGAAAATCTAGGGACCAGACAAAATGGGTCTGACTTGGAATCTAGTGTTTTATTTCAAGTTGTTTTTCATTTAGCCCTCTGCATACATAAGGCAAGTGTACATGAGTCCCATCAAGGTTGGGCTGGAAGATAGAAATTACTGCATGTGTCTTTATTTCCTAAACAATACAGTAAAACATTTCTGTAGCATTTATATTGTACCAGGTATTGTAATTAATACAGAGAGAACCTAAAATAAGTAGGAGGATGTATATGGTTTTATGCTGTTAGCATATACCATGCCATTTTATGTAAGGGGCTTTGAGAATCATATTTGGGGTCTGTGGGGCTCTGGAACCTAAAAGAGGTGACTGTGTGTTATGATGGGAGGCACAAATATCCCAAGATAAACATGCATTTTCTCTTGTGTTTGTGGTTCTTCATGTTCTCACATATTGTAACTTCATGTGGATCTATGTCCTATCATGTGCTGTTTCAGAGAGCAAAAAAAAAAAAAAAAGGATCAGAAGCCTTCTAGAAAGTAATGCTTCTATTCAGTGAGAACGATCTTCACCATCTTCACTGTGAGATGCTCTCCCCGATGCTCTGAAAGACACCAATTGAGAAAGAGAAAAGAAGGAAATGTAAATGTTAGATCACAGTTAAATGGCTGTGTTTCTTGCAATTTAAGCTAATAGTTATTCATTATTCAGTCAACTATTTGGTACAAACAGATAAATATTCTCCCACTTGTTAGTCCCTGGAGGCTTCCTTAATCCTATCTGAATTTACTTTCTGTGAATTTCCTAGTAATCAGAAGTTATAGGTTGGATACATCTTATACTAGGGACACCCATGGTGTAACTGCTTCATTTTTTCTTTTCATTTCAAAGGAAATGGTCCATCCAAAGTGAAAATTGTTGTGTGTGTTTTTTTCCTCTTTTTGGTGACAGAGAATATTTTCCTCTTTGCTTGTCTGGTTATTGTTGAAGTTGTTTTAATCAGATAGTTATTTCAAACAGAAGCAATCAGGTTTCTTTTTTCATTGCTGTCTCCCTCCCCTGCCTTCCTCTTCAATACATGCTGTTAAGAAAATACCCTTGTTAGTGAAGTGATTCATCTACTTTCCTGTGTAGCTGAAGCATCTGGGAAGATCATCATGCAGGATCTTTTCAGACGGCCCCCGCAACGATAAACCAGCATCAGAGGTCTAGCAGAGTTCCAGAATTGTAGGTGCTTTCTGAGGGCTGAGGCAGCTTCAAGAAGTGGAGAATGAGTTTATGATTTTCAGGGAGAATGAAAAAGGACTTTTCAGTTCCAAGCTCCACACCTGACAGCATTCTCTGCTTCATTTTCCCAGGCAACATATTAAAGTCCTGCTGGGACAGAGGTGACTCCAGGTCTCCATGGGAGGGAACAGCATGGCCACATGCTGCCACTCATTGGCAGGCACCTGATCACTCCATGGAGACCAAAACTCTGGAAACAGGATGCAAGGCTATAAAACTTGACTGCAGGAAAGATGAATGAAGAAAGACAGTATCCGTGTTTTCCCAACACAACTGGACACATGTAGATATGTGCACAGTGGTTATGACATCACTTGCAAGTCCTGCCCAAGCTTAAGCCAGACGACTATTCCTGCATAGTGTGCATGCAGGCCTAGCCTTAACTTGAGGAGATATTGACGTTTGATAGCTCCTGGTAAAGGATGATCTTTTTTTAAAATTATTGATTGATGATTTCTGATACATCAAGAATACAACACAAGCTGACTTAGAGAGAGAGGTGGGAGACACAAAGTTGGTTAAGGATGGATAGATCTGGAAGGTCTTAGGGAAATATGATCAACACACATTGTATGAATTCTCAAGGAATTAGCAAAAAAAGTAATTTTTAAAAAATAAAGACAGTAGAAAATGGTCACAAATCAGTTTAAATCTGCATTAAAACACTTTCTCAAATGCTGTTTGACCTATTTCCTATACAGATAATGGGTGGGCTGTAAACATGGGTTGTCCCAAAACAGAAGACGGAAGTTCGTAAGCCCAGCCAAATATTAGAATAAATTAATCCCGACCCATTTTAAATAAAGGATATATCATGCCATGACTTCTTTATCACGGGCAACGTTTTCTGCTTTCAATCGAAGTCAGTGCAGCCCGAGAGATGATGACCGCATTTCATTTTCAGATATGTCTACTTTCCTTGTGTTGGTTGAGTGAAAAGGCAGTGTCAGAAAGAGAAGCCCACTGTGAAGAGATTGTACCATTGCCTCCGTACTTCTTCTTGGGAGAAATCAAAGGAGATGATTTTTGCCAGAAAGTCAAATATTCCAAATGTGGGTTCAACTTGCTAAAAGTTATAATGTAGGATTTTCTGTTCAAAAACATTCCCAGATCACATATGAAGAGCTTATTATGAAACTATGAACTGACTGCCCTTGAAACTCCTTGAATGCACTCACGCCTGAGAAATATAGGCAATTTGTTCATCAGAACGAACTCTGTGGGAAAGTGGGGGACATAACCCAGGTGTAGAAGACTCAGTCAAAACTTAATTGAAAGGACAAGATTAAAGAAAGTGGGTAAGGCACACTATAGGAACATCTCACAGTGAATAAAGTTCTTTAGAAGAATCTGACCACGTCCTTTTAGAGATGACAGCTGCTGTATTATATGTAAGGGAGAAGCATAAGAAAAACCAAAGACCAAGAAATAGAGGGGTGGAGTGAGCGCAAAGGGGAGGGGGATGGATCTGATGCTGTACCAGGAACACATCAAAGATGAATATAGCCCCTCTTTCATACATGTTTTGTCATCTTTGGATAGGAAGTAGGTATAGATCCATTAAAATAGTCCAAACAACACTCCGTCATCACTCATATGCCCACAGGCCATCCCACATGGAGATTCTCTACTCAAGTGATTCTAAGTTGTGTCAATTTGATAGTTAAACACCATCGCACTCCCTAACCAAAACAGTAGTGTGAGCATATGAAACTGCCTTCGGGCATATAAGATCCAACCCAAATTGGCAACAAACAAGTGTTACTCACATGCCAACACACAACAAATCCACCATGTGCGGCACCAGACCCAGCCAAAGTTGTGAGCCCAGTACTCCCTGTACCTTTGTTAAAAGCTTTCCCAGAAAATAAAATAATCCTGTCTCCTCCATTTTAAATATGCTTCCCAGGAGCCTTCAGGTTCCCTGGAATTTCTATTAATAATTCCATTTATCCTAGTAATACAATATGTGTCAAACATCACAGTGTCTGGGAGAGATTAATAGCCTCAGTCTGTCTTGACATGAGAAAAGAAAAGATTGATGAAAAATCTCTGGAAAGAGATTTTGATGCCAAATTAAGATTTCAAGGTGAATTATAAAGAACAGTTTAAGAGCTGGCACATTGCCCCGTGAAGTTCTCTCTGAGAGCCACACCCTAGTCACCTTGTGCTCTGCCTTTAGTTTGTGTCCTGAGTTCTCAACACTAGAGGGTTCTTCACGTGTACAAAGCTTGCCTTGATACCATCTCCAGGCTTTGCAATGTGATATACTCCTCTCACCCATGCCCTCACTCTTCTGCCTTAGGTTTTGAGACATACTGTTTTACATTCATATAGCAAACCTTCTAATTCCATTCCAGCTTCTTTTCCTAAGGCTCCACTAAGTCGGCCTCTTGTTCAGGAGTCTCTATTTTGAGAAACTCTTCTTTACTCTGTCAGAGCTGCCAACTTGAAAAGTGTAGACTCTGACACCAGGCTGCCTGAAGCTCTGATTCACTACCCAGAATATTGTGAGTATATGGTGACTATAAGATAAAAACATGAATCACATACTAATTTTGTGCATGATATCTGTCACACTGTACCAGACACAGTAAGAAATCAACGCAATGGCGCTTTGTTTACAGTATAAGGTATACTTCCAAAAATCAGGGATGAAGTGTGGGAACAAAGGAAGTAAGGATGCAAAGCAAGAAGATTCCAGGGAAACCACAGCAAAGAGGAAGAGATGGGCTTGGAACAAACTAATAAATGTTAGCAACTCTTGTTTGCATAGGTGCCTGCCAAGGCCTATACCTGATTTTACGTTTATGACTTCATATTGTGTTTTGTAGATGAAGCACCATAAATTTTATATCCTTAAAGCCCACCACAAAAATGAAATCCTACTCTTACAAAAGACAATGGCAATAATATTTATTAACATTGCCACTCAGCAAGTGTGCATGAGATCTTTAAGATTTTTGCTGGTGTTGGATATCCAAAGTCAAATGTGAAAGGGTAATAACCATTTTATTTATTGGCATTTTATGAACAGTTCAAGTGGGCACATTACATTAACTAGCCAAAGCACCCATTACCTCTTCAGCTGATCCTCAGGAATAAGTTAGTGTGGTGTCTTGAATGAGAAATTTTCCCATAGCCTAATAAGGTGGAACCTAGTTGGAGGATATATGTCACCGGGTACAGGCTTCAGACTGTATAGTCTTCTCCTATTTCTCTCTCTCTCTCTCTCTCTCTCTCTCTCTCTCTCTCTCTCTCTCTCTCTCTCTCTCTCTCTAATTGTGGTATAGTGTGTGTGTGTGTGTGTAAGTGTATATATCCTGTATATGCATAAAATGTGATCACACTAATTGCCTTCTCCCATTAAGGACTCTGGTCTTCTGCAACCATGAGATAAAATGGACCTTTTCTTCAAGAGTTGCTTTTGATCATGGCATTTTTGTCACAACAATAGAAAAATTAACAACAGAGCTTCACAACAGCAGGATCAAGCTGCCCTCCACCTCACTGAAGAGGCAATGTGCTAAGACACAGAGCCGTTGAAAACCCATGGAAGAAACAGAACCAGGTAACTCCTTCATAGATCCAACTCAAAGACCCAAACCCATGAGTAATACAGTAAACAACAAAAGGTATTGTGTAAGAAAACAAATATTATGTACCTTGAGATAAGAAAAATGGGATTTCTGGGGTTACAATTTGTGTAAATCCTTAAAATACAGAATTTTATAGCACTGTGGAGGATTAGAGCAGTGGTCCCCAGCCCTGGTCAGGACCCCTTTAGGAGTCAAATGATGTTTTCACAGGGATTGCCTAAGACCTTCAAAACACAGAGATATTTACATTATGATTCATAACAGTAGAAAAATTACCATTATGAAGTAGAAACTAAAATAATTTTATGGTTGGGGTCACTACAACATGACGATCTGTATTAAATGGTCACAGCATTGTGAAAGCTGAAAAGCTCTAGATTATAGAAATGATGTTGGAAGAAGAAAGAGGATATATTGGCAGCATGGGAGGGATTAATCTCCCAATTGTTAAGCATTAACAATAAGGAGAAACAGACACAGGCAGAAGATCACAAGTTACTTCAAGAAGCTTGAATGGCCCTTAGCTAATGACCAGCAAGAAATGAGATTTGATCCTATAATACAAGAAAGTAAATTCTGGCAATAGCATAGATAAGTACGGAGATGAGCCTCCTCTGGAGACTTCTGGATGAAACGCAAGTGCCCAACACCCAGTGGAACTTGTGTCAGACGTACAACCTAAATAAATGTAAGATGATAAACTTCTCTTTTCAAGGCTTCCAAGTTTATGAGAATGTCCTATCACAATAATAAAAAATGATGTAATTATGTTGATACCTAAAACAGTAGTGAGGATTAGAGTCAGGAGCAGAGAGCACTGAACTCTCACCAGTGACAAAGGTGCTTCTGGGATGGAAACAAACACAGAGGAATCCTCCTGACCTGCAGGTCAAAGACACCAGAAGCCAGAAAAGCAAATGTGAAGGAAAGAAAAGGAAAGGAAAACCAGTAACATAGCGGCAGAGAGCCAGTAACAGAAGCCAGAGCCTGCACAGGAGATATGTGTACCAGGCCTGCACCAGATAAGTGTGCCCTCTTCTTTCCCTCCTGTGGGAAAGTAGACTTAGAACAGTGCCAATACTCTGAGCTACCACACACATGTTATAACCTCAGAGTTCCAAAAATGACTCAACGCACACTTCTTAAAGATCCCATAAGCCTATTCTCATAGATATTTAAAGTTCAACATATCCTTTATTTCATTTTGACAGAAATACACAGTGCTCACGAAGGAGGCATGCGCGGACATCACCCCTCTGCTGCTGTACTCACGAAGGAGACATGCGCGGACATCACCCCTCGGCTGCTGTACTCACGAAGGAGGCATGCGCGGGCATCACCCCTCTGCTGTACCCACGAAGGAGGCATGCGCGGACATCACCCCTCTGCTGTACTCACGAAGGAGACATGCGCGGGCATCACCCCTCTGCTGCTGTACTCACGAAGGAGACATGCGCGGGCATCACCCCTCTGCTGTACTCACGAAGGAGGCATGCGCGGACATCACCCCTCTGCTGCTGTACCCACGAAGGAGGCATGCGCGGGCATCACCCCTCTGCTGTACCCACGAAGGAGGCATGCGCGGGCATCACCCCTCTGCTGCTGTACCCACGAAGGAGGCATGCGCGGACATCACCCCTCTGCTGCTGTACTCACGGAAGGAGGCATGCGCGGGCATCACCCCTCTGCTGCTGTACTCACGAAGGAGGCATGCGCGGGCATCACCCCTCTGCTGTACCCACGAAGGAGGCATGCGCGGGCATCACCCCTCTGCTGTACTCACGAAGGAGGCATGCGCGGGCATCACCCCTCTGCTGTACTCACGAAGGAGGCATGCGCGGGCATCACCCCTCTGCTGTACTCACGAAGGAGGCAAATGCATGTGTGGAACGGAAATGTCTGTGTCTCACCAAGTCCCTGCTTCACAGAAACGTCTGCCAGACACTTTGGGCCCCTATGGTTAGCTGGTGGCAAGCTCCATTCTCTGACCTCCAGACAGGCTTTATTTGTACAGGCATGATATCACAACATACGTGTATCACTACTGCGCTGTGCTCGTTAAAGGAGGCACATACGTGTGTCAGTGCTCTGATGTACCTTTCATTTTACCAAATGTCCTTTACACTGCCAGATTTCAAGATACTCTCCGGCCTGACAGCGTTTTTCCCTGACACACTTCCGTGAAATTGTTTTTTAAACAAAGGATGCTTCCTTTCATAATGATAATGCCATTATTACATACAAGTAACTTAATAATCCAATATCTCATAACAGCCAATTCATATTCAAATTTCCCTGAGAGTTTAAAAATGCCTTTTTAAGTTAGTTTAATTCCAGATCCAAACAAAGTCTATTGATTGTATTTCATTGCTTTCACTGGTTTCTTTCAAGTCCCTGCGCTGTTTCCCATTCTTTTTCTTTCTCATGCCAATGTCTTATCTTCTTTGTAGGGACTCTGCCTTCTTGCCATCGTTACCCTGTATATGCTACCGCAAAGACTAATTATAGTTGGGTTACTTGGGGAAAACGGGAGGCATAACACTGCTCTCTATGTCTCCAAAGTCCTTACATGCAATGTTAGCTTACCTCATTACTTCTCAAACACGCCGCTGATTTAAACAAGCAGCTATAATTATTGCACAGAAACTTGTGACAGTACAAACACACATACACACACACACACACACACACACACATGCTTGCATGCACACACAAAAGGGGATGGTTGACTTTTTTTTCCATTAGCAAAAGACGTAAAGTATGAAAGCTTTGAGACAACCAAGTAAGGGAGCTACGATCGCCTTCTACAGATAATGTGTGAATTCAGTGAATTGGGTAAAAGATAATTAAAAGACAGGAATATTAGGAAGAATTGGTTAAATAAAATTAGAACTTGAATACTGTCCTTTGAAGACACTAACTTAAGAGTCAGCATCATGGATATACAACAATAACCACATTCCTTAATGCACTGCTAGAACTCAGAGAGTGAAAAGAAAATTTACAAAACAGTAAATCAATGAAATGTTCTTTCTAAATCCTAAGACCATAAATATGAAATTAGCCTATATAGGGATAGCTTAAATGAACAGAATTGTAACTAAGAGATTCACAGCGGGCACACACACACACACTATGTACAGACATATGTATACTCATACAGTGCACACATATGCATACACAATGTACGTACAAAATGTACACACATAATTTAAACACAATGTACATGTACAACATACACACATAATCTCCACACACAATATATACATATAATGCTCATACTGGTCAAATGAAAACAACACACACAATGTGTACACATATGCATATACAACGTACATGCAGTTTATATGCACATTGCACATACATAGTGTATATACATGATATGGGTATATAATATACACACACAGCAGATACACATATACATATATGATATATACTAATCAGATGAAGGCCAGGATAGCACGGTAAGTAGCAATGTCAGACATCAGCTTTTTAAGGACAGAGAAGGATATACACAAAAGTTTTAATTAAGTAGACAAATATTAGAAATTTATCTAATAAATTAGTAAAAGAATATAAAAAGTAAACATTGATAGATATAACAGAAGAAGTATGCAGATCTGTTCCAGCAGTCAAGATGTCACTGAGCTTCCCTCAAATATTGGGACCTCACAAAACTATCAAAAGTGCACAGGATGAACAAATGATATAATAGAGTCGTTATGTTTGAATCTGAAAGATTCTTCACAGATTTGGGTTTGCATGTTTAGTTCCTAGCTGATATTCTGGTTGGGGAGCTGAAATCATCCCGAAGAGGCTCATAGCTGGCAGAAGCAGAACACAATGGAAAGGCCCGTGAGGGCTGCAGTCAGCCTCTAGTCTCTACCATGGCATCTGCTGTCTCATTCACTCAGCATGCCTGGGTCTGCCACACACACCCACAGGCATACACTGCACACGCCCACCAGCATCTACACTGCA